TAAAAAAAAAAAAAAAAAGTATTTTGTGTTTTCTTTTTTTTTTTTCTATCTTACAGAAGAGATCGTTTTTCCCTTCTCAGTTCATTCACTTCACATCCCAAGAAAAGAGAAGGTGAAAAAGAGTGAAAAAGGACAATGATGAGGTATAGACTGAAAAATAGAGGAAAGGAGAAAAGGGAATATGCGGAGAGAAATTGAAACATGCACATTCCTGTGGACAAGCAGATACAGAGAGCCTGTGTCCACTCAAGAATGGCTGACATGTTTTTTGTTTGCTCTATGGGACGGCCGGCCTGTCATCTGCACCAATTAAGACTAGGACCTTTTCACCCATAATCCCACTGATTTGACCTGTGCCACCTAATCCCACAGTTGTTCCTGAATTCTTCGCTCTCTACAATCTCCCCCTCAACAATACTTTTCTCCCACTTTTTCAATTCCTTTATTTAGTTCTAATCCAACTCACTGTAGGTGCAAAAACTGATTCCAGAGGAAAATGTTATTGCTCTTTCATATTTTGGGAGACAAAATGGTGAAATCAAGAGAATTTATAACTTTAATAAAAATGAGACAATAGTTGCCATATTAGCTAATGTTAGAGCACAGCTTGATACTTTGATTTAGAGCAGTTATTAAGATATGTTTTGATACTAGATATTAAAAAAAAATTACTAAAAATCTGAGAGGCAGGAAACTAAAGAAGAAAAGTCTCAATTTGGGCTCCATTTAACTGAATTAATACTTTGGAGAAACAATTGAGATATGTTACCTAATTTGTGAGTTATTTATTATTTTTTGAGTTCATACTAAAATCTCAGATTTGCTTTTCTGAAAAAACTGAGCACAGATTGAGACATCTCTTCTGAAACTCTAAAGGAGACTTGTGCTATTACTAGAGTGTTATTTTTAAGAGAAAACTACTGGTACAGGACACCATAAACAAAAGTCTCTGTTTCATATCTCTACTAAGATTAAATGGAGGAAAAAGGAGATATTAAAGAGAGCTCATGTCTTTCCTACTCATTATGTGCTCATTAGGCTGTGTCATCAGTCTGTTCATAATACTTTAACTTTATTACATACAGGTGTATTTCCGTGTGTTTGGTCAATAGCACAATGTTAATTAAGTGCAGCATGAAATGAATAGATGATGAGATTATGGCCTTGGAGTATGCACCAGGATGTTAAAGCTTGCTATCTAAATGCCCTGAATTGAAGAAGCTCACAAAATAATGCATTAAAATCAGTGTTTGGTGACAGTTGTTTCCCATAATAAATGTAAATTCTCATATTAATGCTTATTCCTTGCACTGACAGAGTTCCACACCCAATTAGCTGTGGGAAAGAGAAAGGGTGTTTCATTCTGTGTGCTGGTCCATAATCCTTTCTCACAAAAAGAGAAGCGATTAACCAGGTTTAAAATACCGCAATTCAGCCTTCTCTAAAGGAAAAAAAAATGTGTATTTTAAGCACATTAAGCAAATCAATTTAACATAAATTATACGCTCTGCTGACAAAAGCAGGAAGTTTAAATTCAGTTGTGAATGGTACATCAAAGTCATGAACATACCTGTCAACCCTCCCGTTTTTCCCGGGATTCTCCCGTATTTTACCATTCTATCCCGCTATCATCCCGTTTAAATATTTTCCCGTATTTCTCCCATATTTTTTATCTTTCTATAAAAAAATCCCACTGGGCGTATTTTATATGTTTGCTACATTCGCCTCCGGTAAAACTCCCGTAATTTGTATGGCCCAAACCTCATTAAATGAATGATCACGTCAACAAATTCCAAGGTTGCCCAGTTGCCAGATCTTGTATGAAACGCATCCTTCTCACACAATCGACACATACAAATTTCAACCCATTTGTCCCCTCAACTTGGCAACCTACAACAGTGATGAGTACCACGGGAAGGAAAGGATCACTGGTAGAAATGGGACGGGAGAAGACTCAGGTGGTGCTCCAGTGAAAAAAACAAATATACATGCAAATTGAGATATAGCTTACACTTCAAAAGGCTATGGTTTAACTGATTAAATATGAGCGTTGCAAGTTGCAAAATCAGGTGCTGCGCTGCTTTGTTGACTGCAGTTACCAGGGAAATGGCTATATTCCTGGCGAAAAGCAAAAGAATGAAGAGAGAATGAATTTGCATTTTTCAATAAGCCCTTCTGCTTTTTGTTTTAGTCCAAAGCCAAAAACGACCCTTATTTTTACGCAGAAAACACACAGTTTGATATACACGCAGTTTAAAGAATTGTTTGATAATTGTTTAAATTAATATAATAAATTAAAGCATATGATGCGATTTCAAGTTTTCCTTTCTCTTTGGAGTGTTACAAGCTGTTCGTGAATAGATAAGATCCCTAAAGCTTCTGCTTTTTGTTTTAGTCCAAAGCCAAAAACGACCCTTATTTTTACGCAGAAAACACACAGTTTGATATACACGCAGTTTAAAGAATTGTTTGATAATTGTTTAAATTAATATAATAAATTAAAGCATATGATGCGATTTCAAGTTTTCCTTTCTCTTTGGAGTGTTACAAGCTGTTCGTGAATAGATAAGATCTCTAAAGTTGCAAAGACTAAAGTCTCAAACCCAAAGAGATATTCTTTATAAAAGTTAAGACTCGTCCACGCCCTCCTAAAAAGCCTCATTCAAACATGCCCCCACATGTCTACGTCACTGTGTGGGAAGATTTGCATAACACCGCCCAAATGTATACACAAAGAAGGAAGGCAGTAACTTTGATTCTCGCTGTAGTATTTTTGCCTCCACCATATCGTGGAGACGCTGTGTGTTTTGTTGTGAAAGTGAAACTACTTTGTTTGGCCTTCCAAAAGAGGACACAACTAAATCAGTGGTTAAGTTGTATTTACAACACTGTTCCAGAACAGTTCAACCCAAATATTCAGATGTGTGCACCGCATTTTATGGGGACCCCACCGCATTTTATGGGGACCCCCCCCCCTCCAAAGGTTATGCATGCTTCTCATACTTGCATAGTTCTCATAAACTAAAGTCAGTTTCTAAAAGGTGGGATTTAGGACTAAGGTTTAGGATTTAGGTCTCTGGTTTGCAGTTGAGAGCAGCGCTTTTTTTGGCCTAAGGGGGTGCCAATGCATGCCTCAACACCTCAAAATTTTAACTTAATGACAATGCATTTTAGAAAAAATTCACCACATGTTAAGTAGATTTAAGCATCTGAATATTAGCCTAAGAATGTTTTTAAATGTTATCAGAAAGAAGGTGATCAGAAATCCATATATTGTGGATATAGTTTATACTGACATTATATATTTTAAAAATGAATGAGGGCATAAGCGAAATAACACAAGAAAGAAGAAAAAAAACACATAAAAAAAAAAAAGTCCAGAAAACACAATAAAGTGTTCTGTTCACATGTGGTACTCTAAAGATTAGTAAAAAAACAACATCTATTTCACGTGATTTTTTTTTTTGTTTGTTTTAATCATAAT